ATAATAACTCCTAAACTAATTAACAGATTTACTTGTAAATTCTCAGCAAGTTAATTCTAAACTCTAAGATGAGAACTGTAATTGTAGTGAGATTGCTATGTATGAAAAATATAGTGTAAAGAGATTGAATCCTTACTTCAAGTAAAAAAACCAACCGCCCTCCGCCCCCAAAACCCATTCAACTCAACCTTCTCTATACAGCTGCAACAGTCTCCTCCATGATGTTCAACCCAAGGATCTCTTCTCTTAACTCTAATTCCAGTACTCCTTGGACTCCTTGGACTGGACTAAATACATTTTCTACCTCTGGTATATACTGTTCAAATACTGGTTGTATGTAGTGTTGTTGTAAAGGTGTTGGTCCCAAAATATTAGAGAGACAAGGTGCGTAAGGTAATAATGTCTGTTATTGGACCAACTTCTTTGGGTGAGAGAGACAAGCTTTCAAGCCACACAGAGCTCTTTTTCAGGTCTGGGAAAGATACTCCCAATGTCACAGCTAAATGCAAGGTGGAACAGATTGTTTAGCACAGGGGTCCCCAACACGGTGCCCACGGGCGCCATGGCGCCTGCCAGGGTGTCTAAGTGCGCCCATGTACCGGTCGGCAGACGAGCATCCACCGAAATGCCACCATTTAGGCAGCGATGCCTCTGGATGACGCCGCTTGTTGGCGGCATTTCGGCAGATGCTCGTCCGCCGCCACGGTCCTCTATGGCTCGCTGTCTGGTGCCCGCCAGACGGAAAAGGTTGGGGACCACTGGTTTAGCATATATCTGTTCCACTGTGTATTAAGCTGTGACACCGAGAGTACCTTTCCCAGAGCTGAAGAGCTCTGTGTGGCTCAAAAGCTTCTCTCACCAACAGAAGTTGGTCCAATAAAAGATACTTCCTCACCCACCTAGTCTCTTAAATAAGGGTTGACAGTTGTAGTCTGTCATACTTCTCCTCCCTCCTCTGTAGTCATTACTGCTTAATCAAGTGGTACTTCTTAAAAATCTCTTACCTCAAAAATTCACTTTCTCCACCCCTTGATCAGTTTTCTTGCTTTTTTCTGAATTCTTCCAGTTTATCAATATCTAAAATTTAATGCAGGAATCTAGGCATGGGCTCAGAGTCCTAGAGCAGTGGTTCTCAACCAGGGTACGTGTACCCCTGGGGTTACGCAGAGGTCTTCCAAGGGGTACCTCAACTCATCTAGATATTTGTCTAGTTTTACAACAGGCTACATAACAAGCACTAGCAAAGTTGTCAGTACAAATTAACATTTCATACAGACAAAATGAGAAAGTCAGCAATTTTTCAGTACTAGGTTGCTGCAACACTTTTGTATTTCTAAGGCCTGGTCTAAACTACGAGTTTAGGTCAAATTTAGCAGCATTAAATCGAATTAAGCCTGGACACCTCCACACGACGAAGCTCTTTTTTTTTACTTAAAGGGCCCTTTAAACTGGTTTCTTTACTCCTCCTCCGACGAGGGGATTAGCACTGAAATTGGCCTTTCCGGGTCAGATTTGGGGTAGTGTGGACGGAATTTGACGTTAAAATTTTAAACTGCAGTGTGTCCTTGTCCTTCCCTCCTCCCCCATCCCACCTGGTGCTTCCCCACCCCTCCCGGGCTACCTTGGCAGTTCTCCCCCTAGTTGTGTGATGAATTAATAAAGAATGCATGAATGTGAAGTAACAATGACTTTATTGCCTGTGCAAGCGGTGCTCGAAGCGGGGAGGGAAGGGTGGTTAGCTTACAGGGAAGTAGAGTGAACCGGGGGGTGGCGGGGAGGGTTCATCATGGAGAAACAAACAGAAGTTTCACACCGTAGTCTGGCCAGTCACAAAACTGGTTTTCAAAGCTTCTCTGATGCGCACCGTGCCCTGCTGTACTCTTCTAATTGCCCTGGTGTCTGGCTGCACGTAATCAGCGGCCAGGCAATTTGCCTCAACCTCCCACCCCGCCATAAATGTCTTCCCCTTACTCTCACGGATACTGTGGAGCGCACAGCAAGCAGCAATAACAATTGGAATATTGGTTTCGCTGAGGTCTATCCGAGTCAGTAAACTGCACCAGCGCGCTTTTAAACGTCCAAATGCACATTCTACCACCATTCTGCATTTGCTCAGCCTATAGTTGAACAGGTCCTGACTACTGTCCAGGCTGCCGGTGTACGGCTTCATAAACCATGGCATTAAGGGGTAGGCTGGGTCCCCAAGGATAACTATAGGCATTTCAACATCCCCAACGGTTATTTTCTGGTACGGGAAGAAAGTCCCTTCCTCCAGCTTTTGAAACAGACCAGAGTTCCTGAAGACACGAGCATCATGTATCTTTCCTGGCCATCCCACGTTGATGTTAGTGAAACATCCCTTGTGATCCACCAGGGCTTGCAGCAGCATTGAAAAGTACCCCTTGAGGTTTATGTACTCGGTGGTTTGGTGCTCCGATGACAAGATAGGGATATGGGTTCCGTCTATTGCCCCACCACAGTTTGGGAATCCCAATGCAGCAAAGCCATCCACTATGACCTGCACGTTCCCCAGAGTCACTACCCTTGATATCAGCAGGTCTTTGATTACGTTGGCTACTTGGATCACAGCAGCCCCCACAGTATATTTGCCCACTCCAAATTGATTCCCGACTGACCGGTAGCTGTCTGGCATTGCAAGCTTCCACAGGGCTATCACCACTCGCTTCTCAACTGTGAGGGCTGCTCTCATCCTGGTATTCTGGCGCTTCAGGGCAGGGGAAAGCAAGTCACAAAGTTCCATGAAAGTGCCCTTATGCATGCGAAAGTTTCGCAGCCACTGGGAATCGTCCCACACCTGCAGCACGATGCGGTCCCACCAGTCTGTGCTTGTTTCCCGGGCCCAGAATCGGTGTTCCACGGCATGAACCTGCCCCAGTAACACCATGATTTGCACATTGCTGGGGCCCGTACTTAGTGAGAGGTCTATGTCCATGTCAATTTCTTCATCACTCTCGTCGCCGCGCTGCAATCGCCTCCTCGCCTGGTTTTGCTTTGGCATGTTCTGGCTCTGCATATACTCCAGGACAAAGCGCATGGTGTTCATAGTGCTCATAATTGCCGCCGTGATCTGAGCGGGCTCCATGATCCCAGTGCTATGGCATCTGGGCTGAAAAAAGGCGCGAAACTATTGTCTGACGGAGGGAGAGAGGGGCGAGTGACGACATGGCTTACAGGGAATTAAAATCAACAAAGGCGGCTGTGCATCAGGGAGAAACACAAACAACTGTCACACAGAATGGCCCCCCCAAAGATTGGACTCAAAACCCTGGGTTTAGCAGGCCGGTGATTTCATGGAGGGAGGGGGAAGCAAATGAATACAGAACAAATCTGGTCCATCTATCTTTTTCATCTTAGGCTGGCAGCAGACGGTGCAGAATGACTGATAGCCATCGGCATCTTCTGGGTGCTTGGCAGAAGATGCTGCATTACGATTGCTAGCCATCATCGTCAAGACGGTTCAATAGGACTGCCGGCAGGACTGAGTCTCCAGGAGACAAAAAATGTCTGCCCAGGTGCCTCTGACCGAACTCACTGCGGAGTACGACGACGATGGATACCAGTCGTAATACACCATCCACTGCCAAAAGGCAAGGAGCTGCTGCTGTATAGCAATGCAGCCCCACGTCTGCCCGCACCCAGATAGCCGATGACGGCTACCAGTCATACTGCACCGTCTACTGCCAAAAGGCAATTAGCTGCTTCTGTGTAACAATGCAGTACCACGCCTGCCGGCACCCAGATGACATATTGTGATAGTGAGCTGAGCCGGCTCTATGCTTGCCGTGGTACATCATCTGCACAGGTAACCCAGGTAAAAAGGCGCAAATCGATTGTCTGCCATTGCTCTGACAGAGGGGGAGGGGCCTGACGACATGTACCCAGAACCCCCCGCGACACTGTTTTTGCATCATCAGGCATTGGGATCTCAACCCAGAATTCGAATGGGCGGTGGAGACTGCGGGAACTGTGGGATAGCTACCCACAGTGCAACGCTCTGGAAGTCGACGCTAGCCTCGGTACTGTGGATGCGGTCCGCCGACTTCATGCATGTAGAGCATTTTATGTGGGGACACACACAATCGACTGTATCAAAACGATTTCTATAAAACCGGCTTCTATAAATTCGACCTAATTTCGTAGTGTAGACATACCCTGAGTCTGATTTTGTAAGCAAGTAATTTTTAAGTGAGATGTAACTTGTGGGGGTACTCAAGACAAATCAGACTCCTGAAAGGGGCACAGTAGTCTGGAAAGGTTCAGAACCACTGTCCTAGAGAGTGAGACTAATTAATGCCTCTTGCTCTGATGCTTGTGATGATACAGCCTAGAAAGTCAGATTGGCTTTTTTGTTACACTGCATTATTGTCTCTTCTTATTTATCATCCTCTATTAATCCATTTAATAGATTTAAATAAGCTGTATGAAACAGAATACCTACTACAGAGAATGCAGGGTATAACATGTTGGCATTGCTGGTGAAGCACTAGGAATAGGTCTATATGTTAAACGACAATGTACATCTCTGCCACAGAGATTTTCCACCTCTGAATGTGCTTGCGTACCTTAAAATACCATAAAAGTTTCCTCAAAGCGCTGAGCGGTATCCCACTGACTTTAGTTTGGATACTTTGCCACCGCTCTTTTATTTGTGCAAAATTACGGCAACTTACAAAATAAATCAACCGTGCAGAATATTTCATCGATAACGCCGGTGAGTCAATTGTTAGTTTCCAGATAACACTTCATTTTCATTTCTGTAGCACATGACGGGGGTTGAGGGCTGCAAGTCATTTGAGTTCTTTGCAACTCAAATGCCAGCGGTGGCGATAACCATTTTCATCCCGAGCACCCCCCAAACTATTTGCATCATTTACCGCCCAGGACAAAAGCAGCCTTTCATCCCGCACAGCCTGGTAACCCCATCCACACCCCCAGCGCTGCACTGACTAGACTAATGGGAAAGCGGCCGGGCATCCTACCTTGCTCCAAGACTCCCAGAACGGTCACAGCGGCGAGCAGCGCGATCTGATCCAGCATCTTGGTTCGGACGGGCGCTGGGGCGAAAGAACCGGTCCCGGCTCCTGCAGGGGAGTGACTGCGGAGTGCGGTCTGCTCCCCCTGCCCCCTGTGTACACCGCTACCGACAGCTATTGCTCCGCGCTAGCATGTGCTTCCTCCCCGCAGCGCTATTAACCCCTGGCGCGCTGCAGCGCTGTTGCTGGACAGCCGCAGGGAAGCGGTAGGGACAGCAGGTAGGTGGGGTGGGGGGGCTCGCTCGGCGCTGTGGCACGGGAAAGCCGTGGCCAGCCCCTAGGGACCAAGGGCAGAAAAGCAAAGTCTTGCTCTTGAGTGGGCTGCGATGCGCAGAGCCCTTCACGTGCGGATAATACGGGCTTGAGAGCCCCCGGGTTCCCTGCTATACGTGGCGGGCGCGCCCCGGCCCGGGGATAGCGCTTGGCTGCGGGGGGGCTCGCCCCGCTCCCCGGCTCACAGTGCGCGCGGGGGGATCCCGGGCTGCGCTGCGCTGCCCCGCGCTCTGCAATCGCCAACGGGGGTGGAAGGACTGAGAGAGGCGAGCAGGGGGTGGGGAAGAGGCAGGAGAAAGGGGCGGGAGAGGAGCCCGGGGACAAGGGGGAAACTAGCGCATGCCTGCCTCGAATACTAAGGGGGAGCGGGAGGGATTGTTTTTCCTTTTCTTGCCTAGCCCAAGGAGACTCCAACCCGCACCAGCCCAGGGAGGTTTTTTTGTTGGTTGTTTTTTTTTAAGCTGCAAACTAACAGCTGGAATCCCTCCCTCTGCCTTTCCTTTGGGGCTGTTATCCTTGGCCAGCTTGAAATACTTAAATCAGGGGTTCTCAAACTTTTGTTCTGGTGCCCCTTTCGCATAGCAAGCCTCTGAGTGCGACCCCTCCTTATAAATTAAAATAACTTATTAATATATTTAACACTATTATAAGCAGGGTTTGGGCTGGAGGCTGACAGCTCAGGACCCCCATGTAAAAAGCAACAGAGTCCTGTGGCACCTTTAAGACTAACAGATGTATTGGACCCCCATGTAATAACTTCATGACCCCGTGAGGGATCCCAACCCCCAGTTTGAGAACCCCCGACTTAAAGACTGTACCTGGATTGAAGCCAGGTTCTAGCCTGATCTTGGGTTAGGGATTTTAGGAAGGTTGCAGAGCTGTTTTCTTCTCCATTACATGTTCCAGCTTTCAGCAGCTTTTTACATCCCACGCAATCCGGTTTGTTTCCCTGACCAAATTCCCAGTCCAGGAAGGAACTGTTAGCATAGGCAATGGGTAACTGTGGCAGTTGGAACAATATAAAATATATGGGAAAAGATAAACTATGTTTTTTTAAAAATATTTAATCAACATTAAAGCAGGCAACATTCACTTCTGCTCTTAACTTACAACAGTAAGATTTTCTTGAAGTAGGCAAAAGTGCAAGAACGCACCTTTGAAAACATTACCCATAGTTCTTACTGGTTCTAATTTGGAACCCCCCGTAGTTGCTAATGTGGAGCAACTGTTTCCTTGTTTAAGGGAACAGAACAATAAATTAAGGAGTAGATTATGGGACAAATAATTTTTGACTGGCATCAGAATCCTCTAAAACACAACTCTAAGATGTAAAACTTGCGTAAAAAGAGTTCCATAACTCTTGAACTATGCTTCTCCTTGACCCACAAGTGCCTAATTTGCTTTTAGTAAAATGCTAACAACTTCTTGCTCCAAAACATGGGATGTAAATGGAGGTTGATTTTGACTTTTTAACTCCCCTCTTTAAGAAAAAATATCGTTCAACATCCACTGAGGATGTTTTCCTTAAATTTTGTTGGAGAGGGAAGATCTTATGCCTGAAAGAGCCTCTTAAAAATTCCATAGACGATACGAACAGTGGCTTGCCAATGGACTCAGTGCACCAGACAGAGCAAAAGAAACAGGCTGCCATCCCCACTGACGTAAGACTTCATGATACAAGTCAGAAGCTAGAAATTATAGTTTAGATTATATGTTGTAGTAAGATGAGGCCCTGAAACAAACTCTTGTGTCAGAGACCCAGTCTGAGGCCTGAAACCTGAACCAAAGTACTTCCAGGCATTGCTAAGCAAAAGCTGGGCTGTAAGCCAGAGGCAGGCCCCGCCCACAGAAGTTGGCGAGCAGAGGGTTGTTAGAAGCAGGTGCATCCACACGTAAGTGCTAATACACTGGTCTACAATTTTTGAGAAGTCATCTGCTTCAGAGATAAAATGTGCTATTTATTATGTATTTTGATGTGCTGAATTCAAATATGACAATTAAAACAACTGATTGGCTACTGTTTCGAAGATATTTAAGTTTTTACATTTTATGTCTATGTATATTGTGTAGATAGAGTTTTAATCATAAATTGTAAACCTAGGTCTTTTCATGTGATTATGGTTGCTTTACATGATAATATTTCACCTGTCCTGTTTATGTAACACTTTACTTTAAAATATCAGCAAAAGGG